GTGTGATGCTAAATTAGTCACCGAGCCTCTTTGCACCAGTCCTGATGAGAAGAGAACTAGGTAAGTGAAGGGCTTCGTTGAAAACCAAGTGCTAAAATCAATCGCAAAAGACCAAGTCCCGTGTGTTATTCTAGGCCAGGCTCGTGAGCATAGGAAGAGACGAACACTGCCATGCAGCACATGGTGCCCAGCCAGGATTTAGATTTGGCTTCTCCAGTGCTAGGAGGGCAAATCAGCCTAAGGTGCAGTTTGAGGGCTCAGCTTTCTAGGTAGGGAAAAGTGACTGGGTCTTACTGGGAAGAAGGTCCCTGGAAGGACCCATCTTGTCAAGACTATCAGCTGTGTAACTTCCACCTTCCAAGTGCCTGTACATACAGCAGTACAGTATCTGAAGGAGCGGGGGCAGGGAGAGGGAAGGGGACGTGGAAGACAGGAGAGAATGATAAATGCAATTAGCTTAATTAAAAGGTATCTAGAAGAAAGCCTGTGAGGTCCTGTGGTTCAGCTTAAGAAAATAAGTGCTGATTGCTTTAGTGTATCCATGGTCAGCTGCTTAACTGTCTTGGCCAAAGGCAGAACCAGGAGTAAGGAATGTCAGCTGTTCCTCTAACAAGGAATTCCTTTAGACAAACAGAGAAGGAGGTGGCATTTTTAGGTATTAGTTTAAAAACCTTTCTGTGTCTTTGTGTTTTTTAAATGACTGTTTAAAAAAGTGCCTAGTGAATGACACTAGATTATGGCGTGTTTTAAAAGTCTGATCAATAAAAGCAATGTTAGGTGAGAGAGAAGGGAATAAATGTATCAAAAGAAAAAATATACTTGAAGCAAATAGGCAAGTTCTTTATATTTGCCCAGGGATTTCAAGTAAAATTGTTTGTATGCCAGTAAGGCGACTTACTCTTGGTCTAAATTTTGGTGTTAAGCTCCCACCTTAAGGAGCCCAGCCAAAAAAATCCCCATTTCTGAACAACTTGGCACCCTGAGGGTGATCATTTGCAATCTAAAATGGGGCTGAATTTTGCAAGGATTCCTTCTGATAGGCCCCATCAGACAACTTTGTTGAGGAACTAGGGCTGAAAGAATATATGCTTTACTTAGCCAAGAAAATCCTACAAAACATTCAACTTTTCCCAAAACAAAAAATCCTAAAGCATTGTAAGTTCTGTAGTTTGAGTCTTCCAAGCAACCTAAACTGGGTCACCACCCTCAGAAAAATCAGACACTGAGCCATGTTCACTTATCCATCACACAGCCTTAATCAAGTGAAAACCATGTTTTAATAGTTGTTAATTTTATAGATAGTTTCTGAGTTTCCAGATAGTTGCACTGTTCCTGGGATTTGGGTTTTGGTCTAAGCTGATTGTTTTCACTGAGGTTCTCCTTCTGGTACTAAGGCTGTTGTGCTTGGATTCACGGTGCTGTTTTAACCAATACTTTTTAAACAAATGGAAGATGAAAACATCTGTCTTCAAAGTAGGTTTTGTAGAACTATTTCCTCAAACCTGAATGAGGAACCAAACATTTTTCAATAGCTCTTAAGTTGAAACATTTGTAAATCTGGGCTCTCAATAACAGCTTGGCAGCGTCTCAGTCAGGCTGTTCTCCCTATCCAACTTATTTGCTAGGAGCCACGTGGCAGACAGTGAACCTTCTGCTCAGCCAGTTCTTTCATTCAGCACTCTAGTATCTTTTGTGAGGGAAACAGAATGTGGTTATGGATTTGGAGGTAAACTGGTGACATGATGGAGGCTAGTATGAATACTCAACCACAGCTATTGCAGGGGGTAAGACCCATGCACAAAACGTGAACCTGTTAACAAACCAAAGCTGCCTTCCAGCTGGCAAAGATTTGCAAGAGCTTCCACTGAAAATTCATGGCTGAGACATCCAACTGTACAATAGTATATAACACTTCTATAGAACCATAGCAAGAAAGCACTCTTGAATACTTCTGGTCAATTTACACATATTTTTCTTATGAGCCCATTCAAAGCCTTTCCTGTACCTGGATGAAGTTTATGTCTGTATTGCTGCACAGAGTATTTCTGCTTCCCCCCTGCCAATATGTTTTGTACCCATCTCTCTCCCATTTAACACAGCCTCACTAATAGTCCAGTACAGCTCATCTGAAGTGAACAGGAAGGCTTTCGTTAGGGCTGAACTTGGCAATAGAGATAGCTGAGTTGATTTATCTACATGCAGTCTCCCTATGATCAGGGCTGGAAGTTGCATTTAAATATGTTTCCTATTAAGTTCTGTACAGGTTCAAGCAAGCAGGATTATCTCTCTGTTAGCAAACTACCATAAAAATATAGAAAAGAATGAGATTGGTTGTTTAGTTTCACATTTAAGTGTCATTTGTAAAGTGATACCTTCTAAATAAATCACAACCATAAGTTTGGGTGTTTTTCTTTTTTATATGATTCTACGAGTATGCCAGAGAAAGGTCACTGTTCTTTCCAGAGAAAAATCTATATAGAGGTATTTGAATAGTGCTTTTACATGCATACTACTCTTCATCTAGGTATTTACCATCATAATGTAGCCCACACACACATGGAAGAAGGTTGGAGAGGGGTGGCCTGACATGTTCCGGGAGTGCAGGACCAAGGGGCACTATATACTTACTGTCCTCTCAGGACAGAGGGCTGACTCTATGCCCTCAGGCAATGGCCAGCAGAGATGAGCCACTACAGCAAGGCTGCAAGTAGTAATTTGCTACTGGCACTTTAGCAGAAAACTGTTCCCTCACTGGAGAAAGGGAAGAATAGGAAGGAAGTGGTAGCTTTCGGGCACACATTTCCTTCCCTAAAACAGCCCAGCAACTCACACCAAGGGACACAGTTTTAACCACGATTAACCACACCTCTGAGCACCCTTTCATAACAAACAAGAAGGTAGGTAGGTATGAAATCACTCGCATCTAAGTGGACCAGGGCAGTTCATTAGCATCACCTGGAAATGCTACACACAGCCATGGACAAATTTATCCACTGAAACTGAAGGGGGTAAATCACATCTTATGCTGAAAAGTGTCACAAGAAAGCTAGCATGAAGTTAAATGCTTCAACTTATTTTGCTGTTATCCTGGAGGAAAGTCTAGTGAGGACTACAGAAACATAATTAGACTTAACCATTTGGATTAGGGTTCTCCCAAATCTTAGTTTAGTTCATTTATTTAGTAACTGTAACCCCTCTTTTGGTTTTCCTGCATCTTCTCTCACCCCCTTTTTGGTTTATCCAAAAAGCTGCTCTGAAACGATCAGTCCCATGTTCAGATTGTTCGTTCCTCCCTTGCATGCAAGATGTATTACATGGATCTCAAAGGATTTTAGTGAGAAAGGAGTTACATGGGAGTACCAGCCAGTCCCAATAAAATTCTGGCCTCGGTTTAGTTTTGCAAGACACTCATGTGCCTCTCTCTCAAGGGCCTTCGTGACTATTCCATCTACCTCTGCTGTCATCCAAACTGTCTACGGGCTTGATCTTGTATTGCTTGCGTTTTGCTTCTTCTCATGCTCCCACTTCCTGTCTGTTAAGCCCCCCTGTACCTCCTCCTCCAACCATGCTATGATAAAGCCGCCACAGACTGCTCTGTCTTTTCTCTAAAGAAACGTACTGCATAATTACAATGCTCTGTAAATAAGGTGGGCTAGAAACAAGTGCCACAATAGGGCCCTTATTCCTGAATTCATACTAGTCTGAGCCTTAAAAAAAAAAAAAAATTAAAAAAAATCAACCCTTATAATGTGCAGCTCAGAAGCTGGTTCCTGTAGGAATGGGGAGGGAAATCCCACATGCAACTTAACAGGTGTTGGCTGCAGCTACCATATTTGATGGGACCAATGAACTAACCAGGTCAGTATTAATATAGCAATCAACCACCAACAGGATATGTATTCATACGTGATTAGTACATGATGCCTAGGGTAGATTGTGGAGCACAAGGGAAACAGCAGGATTGCCTTCAACCTCTGAGAAACACATCAATAGCTGACTGCTGCATCCTTTAGTATGGCCTAATGACAGGGCTCATTCCAATACAAGTGACTTGCACCTGTTGTTGGTTATCATTAAGGGAATCGAAAACAAAACAGACATCATCATCATCATGCCATTATATAAATCCATGGTGTGCCCACATCTTCAATACTGTATGCAGTTCTAGTCTCCACACCTCAAAAAAGGAGGTACTGGTAGTATAACTAGAAAAGGTTCAGAGAAGGGCAACCAAAATGATAAAGAGGCATGAAGCATTTGCCATATCAGGAAAGACTAAAAAGGCTAGGACTCTTCAGTTTGGAAAGGAGGCGGCTGAGGGGGGATATGATAGAGATCTATAACATCATGAAGGGCGTGGACTGAGTGAACAGGGAACTCTTGTTCACCGAGTCCCAGAACAGTGGAACTAGGGTCTCACCTGACATTAGTAGGTGACAGGTTTAAAACTAAGGGGAAGTTCATTTTTTTTTTTACGCAATACATAGTTAACTTGTAGAATTTATTGCCACAGGAGGTGGTGGACGCAGATAGCACAGCCAGGTCCAAAAAGAGACTGGATAAATTAATGGATGATAAATCTATTAATGGTCATGGAACAGAGTGGTTGGATATGTTTCCTCGGGCATCTCTAAACCAGTAATGATGGATGACAGGGAGGGTACTGAATAGGGCATAGACCACTCTGAAGATATCTAGTTCAATGCTCTCCCTCTACAGCATCTACTTCTGCCACAGTTGGAAATGAGATACTAGGTTTGACAGGCCATTGGTCTGATCCAGTATGGCACTTCATATGTTCTTATGTATACACAGCAATGGGACTTGTATCTTGTGCGAGGTTCAGTTTTAGACCCCCACTTTTCACTAAACAATCTTACTAAATCAATGAGGACCTCTGAAAAAGCAAGGAGCCACATGCACTGGCATGACAAATCCAGCCCCTCCTCCCAGAAGCATAAGCTGGGATTTAATCAGAATCAGGACCACTGTCAGCCTGTGGATTTATTATTCATACTTTAATTTATTCAAATTTATTTCACCATTAGGTCTGATAAATTACAGTAAAACTCAATGTTTGTTACAAAGGCATCCCTGTAATAGGGAACAATACCTCCCTAAGCCAAATGGCTTGTCTCAATATACATTATTAGATTAAAACGAATGAGGCAGATTCAAAGCAACTGTCTGATTAAACTGGGTTCATGGCTACTCTGCATAGCCACAATGCTGTAAAGCAACCAGAATATAGCAGTGAATTTGCCTCCATATTTGTAAACAGGTCTCCTTACTTGTGGTATTAGTAATAACTTAATTATTAAAATAACACTTAATGGAGTGTTTGTAGAGTTGTGCAGAGACTCAAATTCATCAATTAATCCTCACGACATCCCTGTGAGGTTGATAATGGTATTTTAATCCCTGTTGTATGAACAGGGTAACTTGGGTTGAAAGTCAAAATGTTCTGGGCAAAATGGCCAAACCTGTAGAAAAATGAGACCTCAGGAGATGCTCAATCTTCCCGACCATGTTGTACAGTGTTAACAGGAATTGTTTCCATAATTCAGTGTGCCTTTCATAATTCACAGCATTTTCTTCTTCCATTTCTCTAAGTATGGACACAAGGAATAGCCTGGCCAAATTATGCTACAGTCTCCAGTCAATGTAATTATCACAGGCCATGCACTGGAGCTCTGCACCACAAAAACTGCATAAAAAATATACAGGTTTTCTGTAGATTACACTTGATTCCTTTTTTCGAGATCATGGAAATTTCAGAATTTTTTTAAAAAGCTTGTACAAAAAATATTTTTTTGGGGCCAAGTTTCTCTTGCCAATTTCCTTTAAATTTAAAAAAGTCATTATTTTGTATTGACAAAAGAGTGAAATACAGTTTCAGCATAATTTTGTTTTCAGTGACATAGAACAGAACTCTCCAATGGACTGCAATGGACAAACTATAATTCCAGACAGCTGCACAAGGCATAAGAATTTTCAAACTAGAGGAAGATGCAACAAGATCCATTTTAAAAACAAAAAAGCCCCACATATTTTGGATGAGCGGGGAAGCTGGTCTTCCAATCGGCTATACCAGTCACGTTACCAAAACAGCTCAAAAGTGCTTGTAAGTTGTAGTAACGTAACAGATGCTCATCAACTCCCAAAAGCTACTGGAATGGTGAAGAAACTGGTTCTGCAGCTATGGAACCATTTGTCAAAAGAACAGAAGAGAAGGACATGACACTAACAAACATGTTAATAAAAATTCAGATATGAGTACCTATAGCTTAGGCAGTATTCCACATGCTGATGGCACACGATGATGTTAGGGGGCCAAGCCACAGAGCAACTGAGGGTGAGCCAGGATCAACACTGACAGAATGTTTGTAGGATGAGGCCCTTTGCCTAGGAGGGGAGTCAACACTGTCAATATGGCGCACATGAACACTAGTGCTCCGCCTTTACTTTCAAATTGCTGGGCTGACACTCAGCTCTTGGATCATCCCGATTGAGAAGACTAAGGGCCACATATTCTCCACCCCTTTACATTGACTTCATTGCGCTTAGCTCATGATTTACACTGATGCGAGAGGAGAATACAGCATACACTGCAATTTACATGGATCAAGCTAGTGATTCTACAGTGTTCCTTTCCTACCTCTGGTACACCATGGGGTTTACTCATCTGTAATCACCTCCAACCCTGAAACTTACCCTGATGTGTTTGAGTTACTGGCACAACTTGAAAACAGTAAACTCTACCATCACCTCTCCCCTGGGGCCACCAAAAAACACATTCTCAATTGCTCTGCGCAGTAAAAAAAGACTCTTCCACATTCTGAAGGGCATTCCAGCTGCTCTCTTGAAGACTGCCCAGCACTCATCTGTACCACCCCAGGCTAGAAGGCATCTTCATCAGTATCAGCATCACTATTTGCTTTGGTCAGTCTCTCAAGCTCCTCTCCATCCTACAGGACCCAGAAGGGGGTGGGAAAAACAAAAAATAAAAAACAGTTAATTATGAGCAAGTTTTCCTTTTGCCAAGCACGCAAGAAACACTTATTTTGAAGCAGTCCAGCCATAATTGTGAAATCAAGGGCTTGTGCTTTAAATCTCTTTCACATTAAACCCTTGTCTTGGACAGAACAGACAGCTATTCATGAGGGAAAGTCCCCAGATTTGTTTTTAATTGAAAAAATATTTCACCATTCTTCTGTGTTGGCTTTCTTTTCATTTTCCCTAGTCCAATGGATGCAGTTGTATTAACAGACATGCTCCTTCCTCCATGGAGACCTTTTTCTTTCTGGACAAAGAGGTGCTGAATAATTTTCCCCATCCCCCTAGTTGACTAAGTACACGGTCTAAAACATGCCTGATTTCACAAACATGTGATTATACACATTATTTGTATATCTATTAACCATCACTCAGCAATGGCAGAGTATAGAACGGTGAGGAAACATTTACTCCCCACTTTCAGGGTTAAATTAAATTTCCCAGGACTATATGCTGCTCACAGAACGTGGCCATAATATACATACATCTGTGTTGAACTTAATCCTGTTGTCTCTAGCCCAGCTTCCAGTCTATCAAGATCCTTCTGAATCTACTCCTATCCCCACAAGTGTGTCAATATCTCCCAGTTTCATTTAATCTGCAGACTTGATCAGGAACCTCTCTATTTTGGCAACCAAATCATTAGCAAACACGTTAAACAGTACTGGACCCAGGAAAGACCCCTATGCAGCTTCACTTTAAAACTCCTACCATTCTGACACTGATCCATTTAGAATTACCCTTTGTTTCCAATTATTGAGTCAATTCTGTATCTGCCTTATAGCAATTTTATCTAGTGCACATCTTTCCAGTTTACTTATGAGTAGGGACCTACCAAATTCAGGGTGCTGCCCCTCCCCCACACTGATTTCATGGGCAGAACATGGAGCCCAGCAGCCATTGCATGAGTGGAACACAGCACCCTCCCTCCCCCACCACAGCTCTAGCCAAGGGGTCCTGGTGGTTCTGCCCTTGCAGCCAATCAGTGGTGAGGGGCAGGGGTGGGAGGCAGGCAGCTTGCCAGCAGCCCCTTGAGCAGGCAGACCCCCACTTCCCCACCCCAGTGGGCTACTACAGCACACTTTCCAGTAAGATTCCCCCCCTCACCCCTCCATGGACTTCATGGATTTGGCAGGCAGTGATGGATTTCTTGGGCAATGCTGGATTTCACAATATCCGCGAAATCACAATTTTGGTAGGTCCCTATTTATGAGAAAGTTATATGGGAGTTTACCAAAAGCCTTACTAAAGTCCTAATACAGTATAACCATTGCATGCCCTTTATCCACAGAACTAGTTACTTTGTCAAAAGAAGATTAAGTTAGTTTGGCATGATCTGTTCTTATCAAACTCATGCCAGCTGCTAGTGATCACTTCCTTTAGACAAACACACATTCACTTCTTTATAAATTTGCTCCAATAACTTTCTGGGTACTGAATTTAGACTGACCAGTCCCCAATTCCCTGGGTCCTCCTTTTCCCATTTTTTAAAGTTGGGCACTGTTGCCCTTTTCCAGTCTTCTGGGATCTTGTCCATCTCCCACCTGTATCTCAGACTTATTTCTCATTTCACCTAAATGTAAAATGGGTGAGCAAGCTCTTTCCATAAAAAGGTTTCCACAAATTTTAATGCCCATACTACTATTCAAAGAGCAAAAAGTATAGCGGAAAAATCATGTTAAAACTCTTAGAGTAAAAATCCTTACCCAGGTTTCTTGAAATATCTTAGATTTTTAAAACTGGAAGAATGTTAACACCCAATCTACTTTATTCCAGTTACACTGTTTATCTACTTTCAGCAACTGGCTGAGCTCCAGGGGTAAAAACAGACTTGATTTCAACTTGATTATAATCAGTTCCCATGTACTGATATGAGCAGGTGGGGTATCTGGGTTGCAAACATTGTAGGAGAAAGGTTAATTCAAGCTAAAGTGCCTGCAAGATCACCTGAGATTAGAGGGGGAAGGCAGGGTCCTCAGCTAGGCCTTAGGATAGGAGACAGGAACTGCAAACAACACAAGTATCGAGCTAAAATAGGGGCTAACCTATTTAAAAGACTAAGCTTATAGAGTTTAAATTAACGTGACAATTTTGGCTGAATCACAAGTGCCACCCATAGGTGTAGCAAATCATCTGAACGGTCAGCTTGACAGAGAAAAACAAGCATCTTAAAAACCTTACCCCACTGGAACGTTCCCACACATCTCCACTGAGAATTTTGCTCCTCTCCCCCTGAACAACATATTCTTGCCCACGTGGCTTGCTGGCGTTGTAGATAAATATGGAGAGAAGCACCACAGGAGCTTCCAAGAAGAACTCCAGAGAAGGTTTGAAGTCAAAGACTATGACTGACACAGTGGTGATTACCACCGTGGTGACCTGGGCAGTCATGACGTGGAACATGTTGTCTTGAAACTTCAAGATGAAGGCCACAGAGAGTCCCATGAGGGCCGTGACAAAAATGAGGGCTATGGAGAAGGTGTTGTGCCCATAAAACAAGCCACAGGACTGTATCTGCCTGTAGCAGTCAGAGTGCACGGCTAGGATTAGCCCGTTAAACAGCACTCCAAATACATAGAGTTTGCTGTTCTGCACAAAGATGCTTTCAGTGAGTTGGTCTCCTTCTTTCAGAATCTTTTCATTGTAGATATTGGCCAGAGCAGAGATGAAGCACTGCACCAGTATGAGGAGGTGGCCCAGGCCCAGGCGGAGGGTTTTCAAAGCTCCTGCTGTGGTGGCAGTGACGTTCCACCTGAAGGTGGGAAAGAGCCCAGATACTGTGCAGTTACTCCTTCCCCAGCACTCTCTTTCGAGCCTGGAGTATTGAAGGCAGCTGTTTGATGGGCTGAAAAACATGTCATGATGAAATCCGTGGGCAGCCAAGCCATTCTGATGGCTTCCAGTCCCAGCAGTCAGAGCTATGATGGACAGGAACAAAATCAGCAACGAGGCCCACTGCACCCAGGAGAGCCGCCGTCTGTGAGAAGAAAAAGAAGCCCAAACCCCCCAAATTGGTATTGGTTACAAGTTCAGTGACAGAGGTTAAATGTGAGGAGAACAAACAAGGAGCTGAAACAGGAAAATACTACACCATACACAACTCCAATCAGAGTGTGAAAAATCCTGCCTTTGTTGAGGCAATGATAAAAGGCTGACTGCAAGGGCCAGGGTTTTACCCGAGTTGTCAACTCGGGCATCAAAGAGCCCACATGCCAGATAGCAGCAAAGGGAGCTCCTACCTGACTCATGATGGAGATGCAAAAGTAAGAACTCTGGGCAGGTGATTAGGTGATTTTATTTTTATATACATGTGTGAGTGTGTGTATATTCGAAGAAATCCTTTTTTGCAAGTCTTTGAAAGTCAATCCAATTTTTGTGCCCTTTTCCTCACAGAGGTATTAATGTAGCCTGCAAGACTGCCAAAATTATATTGACTGTTCTTTATCCTCAGAAATTCTTCCTGGTCTTATTTACTTTGAAAAATGATGGCCATAGGAGAACATACGAAATCATGACATCACAAAGACTGAAAACTAAACAACAAAGGACTAAACATTTTAAATCAGACTGACAACAAAAAACAAAACAAAACTCATTTTGGTTAAAAATAGGGAGGTTTGTAAAAGCTTATAGCATATGCATCCCCTTAGTGCCTCAATAAGCAAAATATTATTTTTAAGTAGAGGGGAGGACACAGGAGAACCAAACAAGGTAACATATGAAGGAAAAAAAAAAAAAAAAAAGAACATAAGCCTACATTTTTAGAATATGATTTCATTTAACTAAGCAGATCAAACTGAAAACCCATCACTGGCACAGTAAGACTGAGTACACCTTTACACTACACTATTGTACCTCATTCTCCCATGTATTTAATCTTTGTTTATCATCATGCATGATCAGTCAATAACATGGCAAAGATTTTCACAGCAATTTTTCTCAAAAAATTATCCCCTTTTTCATCAAATTCAACAGTTTGACAAAAATGTTTGTGACCATTTCTAGCAACTCTAATAATATCTGTTCAATGAATCCTCAGGAGAGTGACTTGCCATTTATTTTTCTAAAAATGACAATACAGGAGTATAGGCAGGCAAATTTCTTTGGGTAAATCTGATATCTTTTATTAAACCAACTCAAATACCTGGAAAAATTCTTCTTAGCTAAGAAGAATTTTTCCAACTATTTGAGTTGGTCTAATAAAAGATATTAGATTTACCCAAAGAACCTTGTCTGCCTGTGTCCTTAAACCAACACAGCTACAACCTACACCCCTGAATACAGGAGTATAACACTCCATAAAATCACAGTTAATATTGAAATGGAGTCAGTAACTTAAGCGTAAGAAAATAACAGAAGCATGTTGCAGTGGTCCCTGAAAGAGGTAATGCAAACTCAAGAATTTCAGAACCAAAAGATAAACTTAAAAGGAAAATAAATCACACTAACATATGGAAAGGCACACTTCTAGCACCCAAACAACCACAACTCTAGTGAGGCCACATATTAAGTACACAGTTATGATCCCATTTGTATATCAGTCACAGAAGAACAATTGCCAAATCTGCAGAGGTCTAAACACGGCACATTTCATATTTAATAGTAAGGTTAAACCATCCATCCCCATGGCTTGTCCCCCAAAGACACTAGAAAATAAAAAAGCTTTAAAAATAATGATAGCTGTTACACAAAGAGGAGGATTGCAACAAACTTCTCCAGTTGGATGACAGAAGAAACACTTAACATTTTGCTTTAATAGAAACTTACTTCAACACTATCCGGAATAGGAATGCTGTTGTTATAATGACAAAATTTGAGAACAATACAGCCATAGCCTAGAAAAAGAGCACAGGGAACAAAATTACAATTCAAATGTAGTCCAACAATTAAAAAATCAACCCTCACAAAGGTCACCTCCCAGGATGTGCTACAGCAAAAAATTGGCCGCATTGGCACTAAAATTCTGCTTCAGGTGAGATGCACTTAATGGGCAGACAACACTGAATTCCTTAAAAGACATTTGTGGCCCACGTTGAAGATTTAAATGGTGCATAAAGCCTAGCTAAATCCTATTGAGAGGCAGGCTTTGCCATTCCCTACAGAGGTGTTGAAACTGCTCTTCTTGATTTCACAGAGAAATGGATCAGACATGAGTGAAAGCAACTTTCATGAACAGCCACTGTGACATGGGAACACTGGATAACAGAGGTGGGCTAAGGTAATTTTTTTACCTTTATGATGCTTCCAAGATCTCAATGCCACAGCTTTCAAGCACGTGAAAGAAATTGAAAAGCACAGGTCTACTGCCTAAAAATGGCACTGCCTCAATCTACAGGTTCTCTCCCAAGGTCACAGACTGCATTGCTGTCCTATGACCACGGCTTCTAGGCAGCCAGAAAACAAACAAAAGAAATACGAAGAGATTGGCTCACAATAGAAAAAAAAACAAAACAGCTTTTACTGGGAGTGTGTTCTGGCTCAATCACCCAATTAACTGAGTCTATCAATGGCAGAGCAAGTGCCGTGGCACAGATATAACTAACTGAAGGCATAATTTGAAGACTAAGGGCTCCTATACACATGCAGGGAGCCTGCTCTGACGCACTGAAAATCCAGCACATCAGAGAAGACTCAACTGAGTCTGCTGGAGTATGGAAATTGATGCGCTCTGGCAGCCTCATGCATCACCGTTGCTGTGCATCTGCGCGCTGACAAAATGGCAGCAATATGCTTTGAAATAAAACATGTCCAATGAACTTTATATTTGAAACCGCCCCGCTGACATTTTTTCAGTGCAGGGATGCACAGTGACAATGATACACGTGACACATGGCCGCTTTTAATTAGCACAGCTTGCTAATTAACAGAAATTCATTAACTTTGACAAAGCACAGAATGGAAAGACTCCAAATTCTTTCAAATCCAAAGGGGAGCTAGTGATAAAAACAACACTGTCTTCTGTGAAAGCTGAGCAAAATTCATCTAGCAGAGTTAATAAACAGCAAAGGAACTGTGTAATACCATTTTTCATAGCAGAAGCATGCTTAGAACCACTGCATTTTAAGTTCAAAATCCCACAGGGATTTGCCATCGCCTTCTCTCTGTCTCCAAAGTCTTTTCAGTCTCATTCAGCTAGAAAGCAACTGGACTCCCATTAATGTGTCTAAGTATGGCATCATGGCCATGCTCTTTACAGATGAACTGCAAAGGAGTATTAGATTATTGTGTTCACTTAACCAGGCTGTCGATAATTACATGCATCTCAGAATGCATTATTCTGGATCGCTGTGAGTAGCAAAGGAGCTAGTATGTCTGCTATTTGTACTGCCCTAGATCTAAGAATGGTGTATTCTTTTGCATCTCTTGTGAACCAGAACAGCAACAGAGGGCAACAGGAATTTGTAAAAATTAAAAGTTTAATTAAATATATTTACTGTTAAATTCCAGAGCCTTCTTAGTGAATAGTGATATGTATAAAAATGTTACAAAAATTAATTAAATTTTCAATACCTCCCTGCAACTGGACCCTCAAAAAACAAATCACTCTGTTACACAGTAAGTTTACATCCAGCTAGCTAGCTAATTACTTAAAATAATACAGAAGCCCTCTTTGCCTTATGTCATTAAAATCTCAACACTAACTCTGCAATTAGCAAAAAGAAAGTGCTGCTTTTTTTCTGTTGTAGCCCAACACCTTATTTACCAAATAGTTGGTCACATTGCCAGTGCTGTGTTCTCATGTAAATCAAAGCGCAATGTATCCATGCAAGATGTTAAAGTGCAGCTTAATAAATCTGATTTCCTGACTTGTGAAATTAGAATTAAAAAAAAAGACTATTGGAGGCACAATTTCCTTAGACCCATTTGTGAGAAAGAAAAATATTTGCAATTGAAATTGATAAATACAGAACAGGTTCAGGAGAGGATGAACTACCAAAGATTCCATTTATATTTCATCTTTGCTTCACAAACTAACCTCAAACCAGCTTTCATGGAAACATGAGAAAAATCACAACTTTGGGTTCAGACACGACCTGCTTACTTTGGAGTATTTTCAGTGTACTCTATATGCAAAGGGAATGCATGCATGGTTCACAGTGTTTACTTCAGAGTTTGTCAATATTAAATAGGCTGCTCAAGTAATAGCACTTGAACCAAATAAATAAATAATCCCAGCTCTAAACAGAAAGCATGAAGACACTATCTTTTTTTCTAAATATGTGAAGAATGAATTCAGGTCCTCTGGAGAAATTCAGCCAGTAGTAGTCAACCTGGATGTTATCATTTAATGATTATGACCTAACAGTGCTCACAAGCTTCTGAGATTTATTTGGCATAGAATGGAAGAAAGAAAAATGTATAAGCCATTATATGAAATCATACTTTTAAAAGATCAGTGATAGCAGTTCTGTAGGAAACAAGTCTTAAAACCCAGCCCTCTGGAAAAAACAGTGTGGAACAGAAATGCTGGTCTGAAAAGAAGAAAAAGGATGATGAAACAAGATGGGCATTTTTTTTACACTATTCATTCTACCTGTAAAAAATCAGTCAAGCAGGAGAAAATAAAATGGATTCTTCACATTTGGTAGCTAAAAAGAGGGCTGTAAGTCAGGTGGGTGGAAGGAATAAACAATCACCATAAATGAAATGCTTATGCAGGTCAGCTATGGGAGCACAAACCCGCAACTAGTATGAATGTTCAAAAAAAGTGAGCCTTGTGCCATTTAATGCTACCTTATTTGGTAGATATATACTTACTGGTTGGAGGTAGGATAAGACATAGAAAATAATCAGGTTATCCAAAAAATAAAGAAAGGCAGGAATTGACCATTTCATGTAGCTACACAATTCCCTCCACGATGTACATCCAAAATGATGACATAATTTACCTGCTGAAAGAAAAAGAAGGAAATTGGTTAGTTAAGGGAACTTGAATGATGAAAACTGGAGCTAAAGATATCTCAGGTTGATGTGTGCAAGACATATTACACAGAACAGCAACTATTTATTTTAAAAGCAAATCAGGTTTTGATGAGAAGTGCCAGTCTAATCTCCTGCTAATACACAAGACATACAGAGACAGAGACAACATGAACCTCCCCCACACTGTCTTGCCAATCACCTTTATCCACTGACATAAAATAACTGCTTGTAAGGGGAAGAGATGAGTCTGCATGGACATTCAATCCTTGTCCTGAGCAGAGACGGTATTCATTCCCCTAAAAACACTCTCAACGATAGGGTCATGTTCCAACTGGAACAATCAAGAGGCTGCCAGTCATTCATGACAGCAAGGAATGGCAGCCAGATGGAAATGGCTTTCCATGCCTGCTGATTGTAACCAGATTTAAAACAGTGACCTAAATGTAAAAAAACCTTATTTACATAGAACCCAAAGTGCAGTGCCTGAAAAAAACCCCCAGAAGCCATCTTGTTTGCCTAGGCTGCTGTCTTCTGAGGAGCTCCTCAGCTAGTCCTCCCATATAAAACAGTTTTAAAACAAATTAAAGAAAATCCTGCTGTCCTGTCCTGGACACTGGAAGTGGAACCCCTTTGGCTCTGACCCCAGCACAGCAGCCTGGCACCTCTGTATGGCAAGAAGTTTAGCCCACAGCTTACCTGCCTCTTCTGCTCTCTCTCCCGGGGTGTTAAGCTCCCAGTGGGGCACTCTCTCATTATCCAAATGCCCTGCAGCTGGACTCTCTCAATACAGCTGACTGTTCCCTCTTAAAAGGAACAGACCACCCTGTTACACCATCCTACAGAACTTGCCATTTAAATGACAACAGGCTGTAAAGGAAGCCAAAACAGAGGATGAGGGAAGGAGATGTAGGACTAAGTTTGCCAAGACATTTAGGGATGTGCATCTCAACGTAATCAGCATTTTTTAATTTAAACTATGAACAGCACAGGGTGCAAAAAACAGTGGGTGGAAAATGAAAGGGGTTGGCAAGAAGTGGAGTTAACAGGCTCAAAAAGGAAGGGACAAATTAAGAACATCTCAAAACCAGGACACAGAAAGAGGCAAAGTATAGACTGATGCAACCTGGAACCAGCAACAATCAATGAAAAGTAGCAGCAAGGACTGGTGGCATTCATGATCTTAGGTACAGCTGTATTAAATGATGTGGGGATTAGCACACAGGTGGGCAATTATTTGGGCTCGAGGGCCACTTAAGTGTCCATGGGGTGCTGGACAGAGTAGGTGGGTGGATAGATGGATGAGGTCTCCTTAGAGATCGGCTTGGGACACCCATGGGCAGAGCACACTCAACTAGGTAGATGGGATGGAGCCACAGGTGGGCATGGAACGATATCCAGGAGTGGGACGGGTGAGAGGGCAAGGCTAGAATCACAGGGCAGGGACAGCATGGGGCCTGGGGCAGAGCCGTGATCTACTCCCCACACACCACTGTGATGGGTGGCAATTCTGTGGGCAAGGATGTGCAAGGAGTGGATTGTTGCTCTGCCCTGGCCCTGTACTACTCCGCGCTGCACCTGGTTCATGCTGTGGCTGCTCACAGCCTGACAGCACAGGGCAGCCCTGACAGATCATGACTATGGTGGGCAAACTGCGTTATGTTAGGGCTTTTGACCAGAATCTAGGCCTTCCTGGAACTAAGCAGTAAAACTGTAGAGTGCCTCATAAGGCAGTGGGAAAAGTGAGTGCTGTGACTGGTACAGTGGGTGAACCAAGTACATCAGTTTCCCTAAAAGGAAACAAAACCAAAAATGGAATAGGACTGGAGTACGTTATCTAAGAAGATGAGATAAGGAACTTGAGGATTGGACAATTTGGGATGACAAAGTTAAAAAAAGTAGTGGACAAGCAAAGGGACAACATTGTGTTCATGCTGTTACTGTGAGGAGGCAGGGCCAACCATGGACTTTTTGCTCCAGCAGCAGAAAATCCAGAAACAAACATCTCACACACTCAGCAGAGGATCTGAGGCTGCTATCACTGAAGGTCGTTACTGTACCATCTGAAGGAACTATTTGTCAGGTTATATTACAGGGAGGAAATTTGTAAAAAAGCTTATGGATTACTATTAAAATTTACTTGATACTACATCAGACAAGGGCTGTGTCAATCCTTGGGGGTCTCTGGCAAAAAGAATCCTAGTGGTAACAATGACCAGGCCAATTGGGGGGATGCCCATGACTTGGCCCCTGCTACCTCCACCCCAGCACAGGTGCACACAGGGAGCCCCAGTACAATGCGGCTGCAGAGTGGCACAGCCCAGCAGTGCAGGGTGGCCTAATCTGGTGATGATCTATTGGAGACACTTCATACTGCCAGGCTACAAGTAGCCACAGTGCAAACCAGGTGCAGTGTGAGGCAGGGGCCTGAATCAGAGCCATGATCTGCTCCCTGCATATCCCCGCCCAGGGAACCACCACCAGTCGCAGGGATGTGTGGAGAGCAGATCATGGCTCTGCCCTGGTCCTGCACTGTTACTGCCCCATCTGCCTGCCCGTCCTGGTCCCAAATGCCGTCTTTCGCCCAGCCGATCATTTTCTGCCCTCAGGAGTACCGGACCAGTCTCCAAGGAGACCCTGCCCACGCGTCCACTCTATCCGGCACCTCTAGTGGTAAATGCAGCACAGATTGTCAGCAGCAGCCAGGCAGAGCAACCTGCTGCCACAGGGGCTGCCAGGAAGCTGAGTCCAGCCACCATGCTGCCCCTGCCCTACTGCAGGCCTGGGGCAGCATGACTGGCCGCAAAAGCCATGGCCCCGGCTGCCCCCTGTGCCTGAGCCAGGTGGGACTGAGGGACCTGCCACAGGTCACACGGAATCCCTTGTTGAGTTCGATCTGGCCCACAGGCCATATTTTGTCCACCCCTGGATTAGCAGAAGCACCTGCAAAAGTGATTCAAGGTGATGCAAGTAGGTGACACCCCTTCAGGATGGTGAAATCCAGTCTGTCCAGGTGAAGAAAAGAGGTTCATGTGTCTGTTGAGACATTCAGCATCCCTCATTTCAATGCCCTAACATATTGGTTGCATCAATTAACTAGATACAGGTGTCTTGAAGATTATCAGCACTTCAGTAGGAAAGGAACATAGTGTGCAGGTTTATGAATGGGTAAGCAGTAACAGTTTTGGATGGCATCATATGCATAACGGTGAGGGGACCATAGAAGTTAGTTAGCAGTCCCCAAAGTACAGTCACAAACTTTACAGAAGAGTTGGCCTCCATCAGAATTGGAACTGTGATTCTGGAAAGACTAAAAGTCACTCAGACGCAGTGTTGTTGGGGGGAGGGTTGGGGTTTTTTTTAGGAGTTTGATTGTAAGGCAAGTGTAAGTAGCTCTTGTCTGCAAGAGTCCAAAGGCAGAGTGAGAGCATATGTATTATGACCATAGTCTAGGAAGTAGTTAAGGGTGTACGGACACACACTTTAACACTGCTGGGTGCCTATATATGTACTCTAGGGTGGGAGTTGTTGAAAGGGCGGGTGCATTTTAATTACAGCGGCTGTCCAGAGAGCTGCTCTAATTAAAACACCAGTGTCATGTGTATTGAGCATCCCACATTTCAAAATGGCCATGAGGGGACCTTAACTAAAGCTCCTTTGATGAGCTTTAGTTGAAGTGACCCTGCTGCCATTTGAAATGCGAGACACTGAATACATGTGATGCTGCAGCAGGCACGCTGGAGTGTTCTAATTAGGATGCTGCACAGATTTAATTAATTAGGGTTAGGATCAATTAATCGAGTCTGCTCTAACACATTCTAATCAGTCAGAGCACACGTATAGGCACCCATATTTCCTGTTTTTCCAGAAGTCTATTTTATTTAACTTGACACTGTGAAAAGGCATAAGGTAATGATTCTCAACCAGGGTCCACAGCACCCTACATGATTCATAAGATAAACCCAAAGATTTCAAATAAGAATCCACAGAAAGACTACAACAGGTGGTCCAACACTAAGTTCTTTGCAACAGAGGAATTGTTTTATTAGTTTTCCATAGCAAAAAAATGTGTGAAAGCTAAGAGCTAGCATTTCTGAAGGGTGCCTTGAATCTAAAAAGATTGAGAACCACTAGTGTAAGGTAATCCTTGGCAATCTTTCCTCAGCCTTCAAGACATTTTTAATCATGACTTTCCTTTTTTATTTTAAGTGGAAGAGAAAAAAATTATCATAGACATTAATTACCATTCAGACAGGTGCAGTGATATAGATTTGTAGCTAAAAGGTACCTATGGCTCAGAGGTGGAGAATGCTGTGGGTAAGTGCTCCTACTCACCCCTGTACATGCTTCTATTATAGGGGAAGGGGGATTGAGGATGGTGCATTGAAAAATCACACATATGGTTTACATCTCAAATCATAGTGTGGTTTTTTCTTTACAAATAATTTAAGTGTGAGAGTGAAGACCAGCATGTTTACTTTTTTCCCATCCTCTATAATACACATCCCTTTCAGCAGTTAAGCATTTTAAAAGGCAGTTTCACACCAAAAGCTGCTCTTGGTTGTGTGGCGCCCTCTGCTGCTGCACACATGTATCAGAGGCTTACTAGATAATTGAATATAAGAACAGAAAAAGTGCCATAGTGGGTTAGATGAATGGTCAGTCCAAATACCCCAGTATCCTGTCTCCAACAGTGGCAGGAGTTCAAGCTTTAGAGTGAGAGCATTGAACCAGATATCTAGAGCAGTGGTTCTCAACCTTTTCAGACTTGAGGACCCCCTTGGAAAATGCTAGCTCTCAAGTTTTCATGCATTTTTTGACTACAGAAAAACAACAGAAAAAATTTCTGTTGCAAAGAATTCAGAAAGACTACAACAGGGAAGCATGGTCTTATCACTATAGATTTCTATTTGAATTATCTGGGTTTATACCATTAACTACGTTTGCGCATGTAACAATGCTAATGTTCTGTGGCATCTGACAACTCTGAAAGGATCTCAAGGCACTACAGGGTAGTGTGGCACCCTGGTTGAGAATCACTGATCTAGAGTGCTCTATCCCCTATTAACTATCCTCCTGGTATCCACCACTAATAGCTGAAAGATGCTAAAGGAAACATTCCCCAGCTGTTCTGTTCAGTAGCTATTGATAGATCTATCATCTATAGTTTGTTTAGCTCTTTTTGAACCTGGCTGTGCTATCTGCCACCACCACCTCCTGTGACAATGAAAATGCATGTGTCCTTGGTTACATGAAAAGACTAGTACACCAAACTAGGGTTCCTTGCCCCTCCTTTGGCCAGACCAGCCTTCAGCTATCCCTTTGTTCACTTAATCAGACCCTTCTTCCACGCTAGCCCACTTCCATTTACTTCTAGGCAGCTTCACCACCATAGGCTTGCACCTTTTGCATTTTTTGGACCTCACACAGGGGAGCAGGGAGAAGAACTGAGACATACCCAGAAGAGTCTGCAAACCCCAAATCCCAATCCTTAGGCTTGTTGCTCTTTGCCCAGCTTAACCCTTGTTTTAAATAGTTTTTACTAATCAGTGGCATGGCTTGATCCCCAGTTCTGCACAAGAATGTGCTGACAGAATCTGTCAACTTTTCCAGAGAATCAGGTTCTACATCTTATCTATAGCAGAGGCAGGAAAACTAACCTGAATTATCTATATTCAGGTGAACTCCTCCAGAGTTAGTCTAGTCTAAGTGAAAGTAGCATGCTATGAAATAACTCAGTCTGACCAAACTATCACATAGTGTTGCTTGAGTTACAATTTGTGCAAATTCTGCAGAGAAGAAAGAATCTGAATTAGCATTGTAAAGGGTATATGAAGAACAGGGCTAATGCTTCATAACAGCATCTAGCTATGGGCACTTACCTCTTCTTGTTACCCAGAGTGCCGCTATCATAGAGAGCACTAGTTTTACTAGCTCAGAGCACACATTCACAGTTGCAGGAAGGTAATCATACTTGTTATCTGTAAAATTCAGAAAACTGTAGTAAACAAACACTGGTATGCCAACCTCTCTATTCACATTTAAAGCATGAGAAAGCCACAGTCCAGGTAGTCTTTGAGAACCATTTTGGCACTGTCATGAACCAGTAATATTTTTGATGCATTAATGGCTGTCATACATGTTTTCTTGAATTTGTTTCACTGATATGGCATGACCAGTCTCTACATTTAAGCAGCATCAAGCTGTATTTAGATTTATTATTATTATATCTTTATGGAATTGTGGTATTTGATCTGAATGTATTTTTCATGATTGATATTTTACCCCAACTATTCAGTAGGGTAATGATCAATTTAAGTGTTCCTCCCCACTTTGTCAGCAACCTGATGAGGAATGTCTTGCACCCAAAAGCTTGTCAGACTTTATCCTAACTATGTAGTTGGTCCAATAAAAGATATCATCCTAAAAATCCTTGCCTTCCCTATACATACGAGAAGTAGCATTTGACATAGGCATTTTTAATGGTCAATCAAAATAGACCCCAGCAGACATGGCCTGAGGTACTAGAGCCAAGCCCTTCCAGACAATGATGAATTTGCATTTTAAAAAGAGAGATCTGTAGCAAGAACAACACCTGGATATTCAGGGACAGTTATTTCTCACAGTGGCTAAATTAAGTAAAAAAAGTATCTTTGAGACATGTCTGAAAGGCTATAAATATTCTCCAGGACAGAAATTTCTAGTCTGGTAAACAAATACATTTGCGGGCAGGGGGGAAAACATCCTGATGCAGAGTATGAGCTCCCCAAGAATCCAATGGATAATGTATGTAAACCATCAGATACGAAGCCATACCTAAGACTTGTCATGAGACCAAGTGTTTGTCTTTAGCTTTCCCATGCACAGACAATGACTTTAGGCCTTCAGCCAGGGGGCTAGGTGTTGTGAGTGCCAGAAGTTGCTGGGAGTCCTGACTGAATGGTTAGAGGCCGGAGCTGCTTTCTAACTATTGAGCTGAGCAGAACCTGCATTCTTAAATTTAAGATGCAGGGTAAAATCAGATTATTGTTCTAATACTGCCTTTTTGTTTGTTTATTCTTATATCTCTTATTGTATGTAGTACAACATACAATATATCTCTTATATGTATTTCAGCATATGGTTACTGATTTCTTATGTTTGTTTTTGTATTATAACTTACTTTGTCCAACTGTATGTATGGTTAGATACTCTGAAATGTTTTCGCTACCTTTCATAATTTACTATTGTTAGTGGACAACAGCAAGTTATGAAAGGTAGAAAAAAAATATTTTAGAGCATTTGATCATACAGACAGGCCTCTTGCAAGGAAGTGGTGAAAAATATATAATTTCTGAGCACATGACTAGTCAAGGGTCTTCTGACTGGCAAAATCCCCTCTGCCAAGAGCTGGCAAGACCAGGGTGAGGTGGGTAAAGATGACATGCTATCAGTCAGAGACATGACTTTTGGAGCACCTCAGTCTGTTCTCTGTGGTCAAGCAACAGATAGTAGACAGGTTTGGGAACTGAAAGGCATCCCTGAAGGTGTGGAAACACTCTTGGGGCATGTCCAGAGGAGTGTGCAAGTTTGGTTTGCAGTGCCTCAAAGCTGTCTGAGACACTGCAAACTACACAAGGTGCACCTGTTCGCTGTGCTAATTTGCAGTAAGCACCATAATTTGACACTGGGAAGCTCCATGTCACCAGATTGGTGCTGCTGCTGCCCCAGGAGGCCCCCAGGACACCATGTGAGACTGCTGGGGCCAGTAGAGGTGCCGCTGCTATTTGTGCTGTGGGAAACACATGCCCCTACACGTGTGGACTCATCTGGATGTGCCCTGGGAGTCTCTCTCAAAGGTGCACCAGACAAAATCCAGTTTTAGGGTGTGACATAGGCACATCCTTCAGTTTGACCCACACACTGTAAAAATGCTCCACAAATTAAAGTTATGTTTAGAACTCTCATTATAAATGCCCAATTTTCAACAGCACATTGCTTCCCAAATACCTGCCAACCATTTTAATATACATTTGAGCACATACCCTAAGCAGGTAGCTTTCTCTGAACAATATATGTCACAAATGCAAACGTACGTTCATTGGCTGAATATTTCATCAAGAGGATCCGACTGGAGCCCAAGGTAACATACACTCCCCCTAGCAGGACGGCATACATGGACGACTTGGAGCAGCATACAGACTGACGGCAGCACTTGGTCTCCATCCTGCTGTCTCCTTGTCAGTGCCCTTTGGATAACAGGACTCAAATAACAAGTATTCATACCGTAGGAGCCAATAAAAGAGCTAGGCACTCGCATATGTTCTATTGCTTCATGAATTGCACGCCCAAGGGCAGGTTTGGCATGGCTTTGCTGGACTGCTTCTCTGGAATGGGTCGAGAAGCAACGAGAGACGTGTAAATGGGCAGAGGGAGATGTCAAACCCACTCCCTCTTGCCCCTCAAAAAGCAAGGTACTTTTGTAAGGGTATAAGCAGTGCCACATCGGGTCAGGCCCATGGTCCATCTAGCCTCAGCGGCTGGAGTGGGCACCAAACTGGAGAGAGGTAGTGGTGGTTAGCAAATAACCTAGCACTGGTCTCAAGTTGCAGCAACGGAAGTGACAGATCAGGAGAACCTCTCTCACCAGGAGAGCAGTGAGGCACTGCAACAGGTGATGACACCTCCATCCCTGAAGAGGAAGACCTGGCTGGACAAAGCCCTGGCTGGGATGACCCAGCTAGGGCTCTGAGCAGGGGGGGGGGGGGGGGACTAGATGTGACCTCCCGAGGTCCCTTCCAGCCCTCAACTTGCTGCCAATTTACAGGGGCGGCTCCTCCAAGGGGGCCGGGGTGCAGCGGTGTGGTCGCACCCCACTTTGCTTCCTGCTCCACCCGCAGTTTAAAACCAAGTGGCAGCAGCAACAGCATCTCTGCCCTGTCCCCGATTCCTGCTAAACGCCTCACCCCAAAGGGGGGACCACCCTCTCCCCTGTTTGCCTGTCCAACCTCGCTGCGCGCCGGCCCCGCACTCGCGTCACCCCCGGTTTACCTGGCTCTGCAGGCCGATATGGCCACGCCCCCGGCTTCCAGCCCCGCGCGCATGCGCACTGAACTCCCCCGCCCTGCGGCTGGCTAGGCCACATGACACGCGCGGCTCTGTCGAATCACATGACACCTCCAGCCCCTTCCGGCTCTTCCTCTGCGCGTGCGCATTAAGGCAAACTCTCCGCGCGATGATTTATTGGGGGTGTGGGAGTGACTCTTCCCACTGCGCAGGCGCAGAGTCGCCAGAGGGTGGCCTGCCGGAACTCGCGGCGTCACGTGGGCCCGAGGTGGGGGTCATGTGACCACGGCTCGGGCGGGCGCGTGCCGCTGCTGCCGCCGCCCTTGTCTTGCGCCTGCAGAATGCAGAACGTCATCAACACGGTGAAGGGGAAGGCGCTGGAGGTGGCCGAGTACCTCACCCCCGTGCTCAAGGTGCGCGCGGGGCGGGCGGGAGGGGCCTCGCGAGGCCGGAGCTGGCCCCAGCCCTCTGCTCCTGTCCTGGGCTGCTGCTCTGCTTTCTGCTCCTTGCTGGCTTACTTGCAGTATTTCTAGTTCTAACAGAGAGGAGGCCTGTCGGAGGGGCACCTCGCTCCCCGCCCCGGTGCCGCTAACCTCAGCCGTGCAACTGCCCCTGAAGCGCCCTCCCCCTTCCCCTGCTGGACGGGTGGGCGCCCCCTGCCCCTGTGCCCTGCCACAGCCCTCGTGCCTGGACACCGTCCCCAGCGTTGGCAGGCGCCTGCCTGTCCCCTCCACGGTGCCCTGAAGCCTGGCCCTCCAACCTCTGCTCCCCAAGGTTGCTGCCACCACCCTGCCAGGCTGTGCGCCAGTCATATGTGTGTGTGTGTGTGTGCACAAACACACGTGATGCCCCCTGCCTCCAAGTGCTTTCCCCCTGGTCCCACCAGTGGAGCAGAGGAAACTCCTGGACGTTTGTTCAGATTTCAGAAAACTGCCTGGATGGAGATTGAAGGACCCCAAAAAAGGACACGTCCAGGAAAACCCTGATGTGTGGTAACTCAACTTCCTGCCCAGTCCATTAGCTTGTTTTCTGCTCCAGCCCAATCCTCCGCCCTGCTTTCTGCTGCCTGCTCCCTCCCAGGTGGGCCCTGTGCCACAGGCAGAGGCTGGCCATGTCACTCAGGGTGCACATGCTGCAGGTTGGCCAGCCCTGGCTTGGCAACATTAATTTTTCTCTTTTCCTCAGAATAACTGTTGTGGTGTTTTGCTAACCCTGTTTTGCTCGGCTACTGGTACCATTGCTTGCTCCTACATAAGCATAGTGAGAAACTGAGCTGTGGGAAGGTGAAGCAAGTTGTCTACATCTGTGATTCTCAGCCAGGATGCTGGGGTACCCTGGGGTTGCCTCCAGATCTGTTGAACGGTGTCATGAGGAGAAAAGTGAGGTGTTAGGATGTAGGTGGGCAAAATGGTGTATCCAGCCAGTGGTTGGGCTCCACTTCCCAGCAGTCCCTGCCTGCATGGCTCCCAGTTGGTCTCCGTGGAGACCCCAGGAGTGCGAGGCTGTGACTGCAGGGCTGCAGAATAGGCACCAGTGCTGCCTGGCTCCACACTCGTAGTGTATCTATAAAGATTGGTCAGGAGCCACACCGGGAACTGCATCCAGGGCAGGGGCTGGGATCTTGGGGTGGTGACAGCGTGGAGCCCAGGCCAGAGCAGTCGCAATCTGCTCCCTACATGCCCCCACCCACAGCAGTGTGTGGGCAGTGGGTTGTGGCTCTGCCCCAGCTCTGGCCACACGCTGTCACCTCCCTAAGATCCCAGGGTCTCCCAGGCCCTACCTGTCCATCTTACTTTTGGCCATGGTCCCATTCCAGCCTCATGCCCTTCCCACATGGGTCCTTCCCTGGCAGTGGATGCAGGGTGGAGAGGCTGGAGTGTCTGGGTGAGGTGTGGGGCCACCACTGCAGGGGCTTCTGGGAAATAGAGTCCACTTGGACCATATGGACTTTGGCCCCCCCTGCATTAGGAAATAAGCAGCTAAACTAAGCTGATAAGTATAGGCTCAGGCTTGTCACTGCCTGAGGATCCCCCATCTCCACTGTCAGATCCCTTTGCAAAGAAGTAAGCACTGTAATCTATACATTTGTTTTTTAAATTGGGAGCTACTTGGTTTGCTAAAGTTATGGAAGGGTGCTTCAAGTCCAGTGAGAGCTGAGTCCAGGCCAGAAAGGTTGAGAGCCACTAGCTCACCTTTATACAGTGGGTGTCTTATTCTGTTGTGTATACAATCCAGGAGTACTATTGCCCACTTTCTCTTTCTAGCCAGCACATGTTAAAGTCTGGCATGTGCTATGCACTATCATTATTATGCTTTGAATAATATGTTGTGGGACCTTTAGAACATTGATCCAAGTGCCTGTTTTTGTAAGTGAATGTTTGAATTATTAAAACGGCCACCCAGCATTGCTGCATAGACTTGGCTGGGTTTCTACAGATGCTAAGGATTGTGAACCTCACTAGGGTAACAGATCACAAGACTCGCTTGCATTCTGCACGTTGTGTGGTGTGCTTAAGGAAGGAGTCCTAAGGTTGCTTTGCAATCTGAGCCTTCAACATACTGACACAGCGCACTGCCAGCAAGTCCTTAGTTTTATCTTTTTATCAGCCTAAACTCTTTAAAGGCAGACCTGTAATTACCAGGTAGTGCAGCTGTACTGCTTGGTCCAGCAAAAGTTTCACTTATCTCATTTTAATTTTGGCTCTTAAATTACATTCCTCCCTCCTTCCCATCTCAAGTCTTCATCCTTGGAGAGGAAGGGAAGATGGGAGTATCACTGGCAAAAGTGCTTCTGCTTACTTAACAAAGACAACCTGGGCATTCTTGATCTTTGTGCAGTATGGGAGAGGTATTGCTTATAGAAGGGATAGGTAACGCTTTCTGGCTGTTGGCTGAAATGACCTAACCCGGGTTGGATTCTTGGTGACATGATGACAACCTGAGGGCAATTTAGGACAGTAGAAAGGAAAGCAACCACTTATTAATAATGGTGATAGCATAAATTCCTCAGATAACTCTTGAACAAAAAACCAGTACTTTGTGGATGTTCTGTACTGTGTGTAGTACAGAATCCGTTACTGTGAATTGAGGCTATATTTTTTTTTTTGTTTGAAGATCAATCTATGGCACTTTTTAAACTATAAAACTACATATTTCTGTAGTTTTAACACTACAAATTATAAAACTACATATTCTGGCTGGAATGATCTAGTTGGGGATGGTCCTGCTCTGAGCTCGGGGATTGGACTCGATGACCTTCTGAGGTTACTGGATCCAACCCTAATTTTCTATGATTTTTTTTGTATATTTGTTTTGAACTCTCAAATTCCTTCCATTCACCATGGAACGATGTGAGCAGGCAAAACATGTCCTGTGCTGAAAGCTTCTAGATGTCTTTTTGAATGAAAAAGTAAACAAATATATAAATCTTGTTAAAGTTTGTTTTTAGTTGATCCCATTGCACATAAGTTAATGAAACAACTAGGGGTGCAGTGATAGAGATTTTTCGGGCTGATATCTAGGGTGGATTTTTAATGAGCCCTATCCGTCAATACTGATCCGATTGCCGATATGCAGCCAAGCAGCTTGGAGAGCAGGTCAGGCTGGTAAGTCTGTTGTGGGGGAAGGGGCAAGGAGGGAAGGGGTGTGGTGGGGTGCCGATTGAGGCCCCTGCAGTGAGGGAGGGAGTGGGGCTGGACCGGAGCGGGGGAATGGAGCTGCAAATGGCTCATCCTGGGGGGGTGGCAGCGGCTCCCGCTGCTGCGCATACCCCGGGAGGGCATGGAGGGTGTGTGCCCCCAGATCTGTGCGTGGGGTGAAGGTGGGGTGCCTCTGCAAGCTGGTTCCAGGGGTGGCGCTGGGCTCGTCCTGGGTGGGGCTGGGCTGGTCTGTGCTCGAGGTGGGCAGCAGCAGCACTGGGGTGGGGGTTAGGTCGGGGCGGGGGGGGCTGAAGCCACCCCAAAATTTTGCATAGACCCCCCCCATAGCCCCCTCCCCAGTGCTACCACTGCCCGCTCCGAGCACAGCTCCAGCCCAGGCCTTACTGGGATGAGCTCAGCTCAGCCTGCCCTCACCCCTTGCGCAGATCCGGGAGCACCACCCCCCCCATGCCCTCCAGGGGCGTATGCAGTGATGGAAGCGTCCGCACACCCCACATGAGTCATTTGCAACTCTGTCCCATGCCCCATCCCGGTTGTGCAGCACCTGCCTTAGCCCCACTCCCTCCCTCACGACAGGGGGCCTTGATCTGCTCCCCTCCCTTCCACCATGCCCCTTCCCTCAGCCAGACCCCCGTGCTCCTGGCTGTCTGCATGTGTGCACGGGCCATTTATTGGTGACATTATCAGCCACATCAGCGCAAAAAAATTGATTGCTGATACTGTCAATTTTCCTTATATTGGTGCCCATCCGATATGGGACCAATGGATTGGTGCACCTCTAGAAACAACATGGGAAGTTAAGAAACCGGTTCTCATAGCGTATAGTAAAACAGTTGAATTTGGTACCAAAAAATGCTAATGGTAAAAGCTCTCTACATAATGGGGGCAAAGTTAATCTGTAATGGGAACAGTTGTTCTCTGTTTCCTGACTTATTTTCTTGTCTGATGCATTCTGTTAATATTTAGATTTCATTTTGATGGCTGTTAGAACACATGGTTCTGCTTGTCTTCCTATATCACTTACCAAAAAGAGTAGCACAGACCACAGAATTTTATTTTTTGGCATCAGTTAGCTGAACTACTTTCTGTGGCTTTAAATATACTTCACATATGTGGCCTTCTGATACCTTCTTATATCCTACAACGCATTAACTTCCTTTTATGTTCTCAACTATCAACCAGTGATTTTCAACCTGGGTGCAGAGGTAGCAAGTTTGGCCATGGCTAGCAGGGTCAAAGGGCCCCTAATTTTGTAGCAGGCTTCTGCCTCCCAAATTCTGGTAGTCCGGCAGGCTAGATAATGGTTCCACAGGTTGGATCTAGCCCACAAGCCCTATGCTTGACACCTGGTTATAGATAATTGAGGTAGATGGGCCTAGGATA